ACCCCCGCCCTTCCCTACCCCCCCGGCCTCCCTCTCCCCCAAGGAAATCCTTGTTTTTTCAGAAGCATCCTGTATTTCAGCAGATAAAGATTGATCTAGCGAGATTCCCACTGTCCGTCAAAAAAACGGAAAAAAAAAAAAAAACCACCGATTCTTCCGAGCCCGTCCTGCGAAACCACAGCCAAGGGAATGGGCTTGGAAGAATCGGCCTTTTTTTTTTTTTTTTTTTTTTTTCTGTCGTGGGCCTTCTATACCCCATCCTAAAGTAGCGAAATGAGGTAATAAAATATAGGACCCTGTTCATACCATGGTAATAAAATAGGTTTTGCTTCTGGCACAAAGTGAGCTACTTCAAACAAATTCAGAAAAAAGTATTTTTTAATGTCGTGGTCCTCCACCCCACAAAACAATTACTCCTGGATGAGCTAGATGAGCACCCAATAATTTTACAAGAATTCTCTTTTTTTTAATTCAAAAAGATTTTTATTTTTTATTTTTTTTTGGGTCAAACGTTGTCTCCACTTCCTTCCGAACTCCCACCGATATCAACAGTCACAGCAACTTACATGTGTCTGCCCTTCAGCCACAAGGGTTAGATCGATTTCTACCTTTTGGCTCTGATCTGTGCAGACGTGACGAGGAGGTAGTTGCTTGTTGTTTTTCCTTGACCATTTAACAGTTTTCCAGCACTGTACGTCGCTTAGGAAGTATCTTTCGCACATCGACGACATATATAACGACTTCACGACGTACAAAATTCGTGTGCCAGTTAGTGGCGCAATTATCATCAACCAAGCGTTGGACAAGGTGATTCTCCAATACCGAAGCCGCATGATTTTTTAATTATTTATTTATTTATTTTCATATTTTTTGAAGCCGTGTGATTTTGTCGTTGGGTGTCTTTGCTTGCTTTCCTTCTTTTATTATTGTGAATGAAGTTTAATGAACAAGGAAAGGATTATCGCTACCATATTACCTTGAGCGGAATACGCTCCTCCAGGTGTGTGTGAGAGTTGAGCACACACACACACACACACAGAGAGAGAGAGAGAGAGAGAGAGAGATTTGATAACAGCAACTGAACTGATATATCTTGTAATAATTAATAATTATGTCCTAGTTTTTTTTAATAATTAAGTTGTGTTTTGTCTGGAGATGAGGAATTCCGAGACTTATTGCGAATATGACAAAATTTGAAATTATGTTTTCTGCAAGATTTTGAACGAGCTAGTGTTCGCTCCGCTGCTGATATTTTGGGGGGAATGTCTTTTTTTTTTTTCTTTTTTTTTTTTCTGGGGCAGTGTCTTTTGGTGAAAGGGTACAAGGCAGGTGCGAGCTGGGGTTTTCCAAAAGGGAAGAAGAGCAAAGATGAGGAGGATGATCAGTGTGCAATTCGTGAGGTAACTTCCTAGTTTCGGTGTGTCCTGATGCTGTCAGTTTGTCGTTCCCTCTCTCCCCTCCACCCCCCTGGGGGTCCCCCTCTTGCCCCATCTGCCCCGTCCCTTGCTTGCCCTGCCCCGCTCTTCGCCCGATCCCTTACCTCGCCCTACTGCTGGAGCTGCATCCTGTTCATCAGTGTTTGTTCGGCGCTACTCCTAGCAGCCCTTATGTAGTATTTCATGTAATGGATGGTATTTTATTGTCTCGAACTTCATTCGGTTTATGTGCGGGAAATGCTGGAACATTGTCATGTGCATGACATGTGTCGGTTTATGTGCACGGCGAAGTTAGAAGGCTACACAAGTTAGGGTTTGGAAAGTATTTGTGGTAGAGAGAGAGAGAGAGAGAGAGAGAGAGAGAGAGAGAGAGAGAGAGAGATCCATGGAGGTGCATACTTGTCACGAGTAGCGGGGGGAGAGAGAGAGAGATCCATGGCGGTGTTTTCCATAGGCTGAGTGTTTATAGTCTATGTATGGTGTTTGTGTAAATGTGTCTTACTTGAAAGTGGTTGGGTGTGATGATTTTTTGCTCAGGTCGAGGAGGAGACAGGATTTGACATATCAGGCCTGCTTATGCCAGAGGAGTACTTGGAGGTTTCTTTTGGGCAGCAAAGGACAAGGCTGTACATTATACCAGGGGTGGACGAAAAGACATCGTTTGCCCCTCAGACAAAGAAGGAGATCAGCGTATGTGTGATACTATTGGTTAACCCCTATGTTGCCCCTCTTTGGCATGCCTATTTGTGTGCCTCCCTCCGGTCTTTCCCTAGCCACCTTTTTACTTCCTCCTAAAAAGACTTTCCGAGGCCTCTCCTTCCAATACGCCGCTTCCCATCTGCCAAATGCTTAGAGTACGTAGCCTGCCTTGTAGTTAATCACGTGTGCCTTCCTTCCAATACTCTCTCCATCTGCCCAGCGCTTACATTATTTAGGCTGTGGTGTAGTATGCCGTGTGTGCACATGTGCGTCTGCTCCGCTGGTGTTTTTACAGCGGGTCTTGTCAGAAGCTTTTGTGCTTGGAGTAATCATATGAGAGTGTGAATGAGAGTACGGTGCCGTCTCTCTCTCCCCCCGTCCGGCTCTTTCTCTCTGTCTCTTTTGTGAGTTTCTATACCAAGTGCTGGTACCTCCTTATCTCTGGGCCATGCACAGAGCTCTCCCCCCCCCCTCTCTCTCTCTTTGTGGGCTTCTGTACCAAGTGCTGGCACCTACTTATCTCTTGGCGATGCACAGAGGGAAAGTATGAATGTGTTTCTGGTGCTTGCTATGTGTTGTGTTCCTGGTAAACAAATAAACAAATAAGAAATCATGATTCTCTGGTTCCTTAGCTTTTGTGCTGTCGTAGCTCATCACAGGCGATGAAGTCGCAAACATTGGTTTGGTGCTTTGGTCTGTAGAGTATGCTTGGACCTATCCTGGAGTTTGGGTGTTGTGCTGCTTTGGTCTGTTTGCATGTGTTCTAAAACTTGTCAATATATATATATTTTTTTCGTTCGTTCACATCGCTTCTTTCTTGATGGGTTGAAGCATCCCTTAGGCAGTAGCGCTTGTTTCTCATTGAAGGCAAGTCCGAGCCCTGATGCTAGAATGCTGTGGTCTGTAGGCTTTGTCTCCCTTATAGTTAATGGCTGTTCTTCGGTCGCACTTCGTTTCTTCTTGGGCCATGGTTGTAGTCTCTATCCTGTCTCTACCACATTGACATATCGACAAATCTCATGATTGTTGCGCCGACCACCTGGTCGAGAAGCTTTGCTCTTCTTGTTTAGCGGAAACGAATCGTGCTTTGAACGCTTGGCTTCATGGTCAGATTGTCATTGTTATTTGTCACTTGTCTCGTCTGCGTGGTGTCAGGCACTTACCGTTCGTCTTCTGTTGTTGCTCCTTGTGCAGGACGTTTCGTGGCATCGTATAGATGAATTGCCTGTGGCCAGCAATGCCGCTGCCCCTGCGGCAAGGGGCCTGAACGGCAACAAGTACTTCATGGTCTGGCCTTTTATGAGGTAGGTAGGGGGGCTTTGCTTAGGTCGTTCTGGTGACACGAGTCTAACTCGTCTTTATTGAGAGTGGTGTTCCTTTGTAAAATCTTGAACACAAATTACGAGTGCATTGGCTGTGTTTTGGTGTGATACACTGATACTCGAACACAAGAAGTCAGTTTGCTCCGCTATGCTTGTCTGCAGTTTTGGCTGATTAGTTGTTTTATCGGATGACGGTGATGAAAGGGCCGCCCCGCCCTCTGCGGGAATAATGCTCTTAGGTGTTGGGGGAAGAGAAAAGTAGCTGCAACTCAGCCATGTACCCACCTGCACACACACACACACACACACATACACACACACACACACACACACACACACACACACACACAGAGATAATCTCCTTGGGGGGATTGAGTCCGTGCTTTCTTGCGGGTGGAGTCTTCTGTTTTAGGTAAGTTGCCTTTTGCTCTCCATGCCTTTATGGACTACGAAATATGTGTGTACATATGTATATGGGCAAGTGTGTGTGGGCACTTGGCGCTGTACCACACAAACGTCGCCAACCTTGCCTATCTATACTTCCTTTTGTTTTATGGACGGTTTATGTTAAT